TGTTCCTGAAGTCCAACCAGTGGAAGATGCAGGAGCCACTTCACTAAAAAAGCGAACCCGAAGAGGAAACGGAAGGTGGGGAAGGCAGCGGAGGGACTTTCAAAGGGATATCCTTCCTGGACTGACTTCATTGTCAAGGCACGAGGTGACCGAAGACATTCAGACATTCGGAGAGTTGATGAAAGCTATGGGCCATTCTTGGAACTCAGGATCCATGAGAAGGAATGGCAGCGGTAAACGAGGAAGGCGGAGGATGGTGATTGAAACCGCCCCTGCCACTGTGTCGTCCCCAATAACCCCTCCTCTAAGTTTGGAGGACAAAAGTCTAACAGGGTGGGGCAAGACGATTAGACGCCCAAGGAGGCAAAGATGCCCTGTAGGTCATCCTCCTGCTGTTACATTAACTTAACTATGTGAATGAGTCTGTAATTTATCAACTTCTTGATTAATAGAGATGAGGTAAAACAGATTAGGTGAGTTTGTTTATGAATTTTCAGGTGTGAAGTTGCTAGATATGGAGTCCTTGTACATGTCCTTGTAGCCCATAATTTAGGACACCATCATTATGTGATGTCCATTGGGTTACTGATTCTGTATTCATAATGTCTTCTGGATCATACAGCATCTGCAAATGCATCTTTTGACTGTGTTTCAAAAAATCTCTGTGGATGTTATTAGAGATAAAAGTCAGAATTTTAGGTAAGTGGAACCATAGAAGTGACACTGAATTCACTATTTCTTTGCGACAATGGACGCATGACTAAATGAGTGCGTCGATTTCGCACCAATTTCTGAAGAGGCGATGTTAATCACTTTTAGTCGTATATTCGACTGGTAAAATGACCCCATAACTTTGGGAGAAGGGTTGCTCTCCTATCTTTTGATTAGGAAAGTGTTGCTCCCAGACGCACACGTGGTCGTACAAGTAATAAAATGATAAGTCAAGTATCAAACCAACATAGACTTGTATCGACTACCCACTAAAATCACCAAGATTGTTATTTAGCCAAGCCAAAATCAAGTTCAAGAATGTGATCATACTAAACTATAATTCTAATTTATAACTAAATTATCAAGCAGTAAATTGGTTGTTGTGTATTCAGTAGAGACAAGTATTCCGGGGTTGTGATCAATTCACCAATCCTATTGTGTTCTAGTTAACTCTTCCTCTCATACAATTCACTCATGGTTGCTAATTGATCGATAATTGCTCTCATAGCCTTCTCCCGAAGTACTACTCGCCTATTCAAAATAGATTAACGCCTATATTCCTATGAAATCAATCTATTAAGAACGCGTTAAGATTACGATATTTAATTAAGCACGTTGACTAGGTATATTCCTATCCTAACCACAAATCCGCCCCCAAGTGTTAAGATCGTGCTCTCTTTAATTCTTCTCTAATCTAAACACGGCTTTCCCAAGCATATCATAGATAGTAAATAGAACCTAACTGCTGGCCAGACAATTAAGCAATTAATCACATAATTGAAGAAACAACCATATATTAGTGAATTGTAATCAAGATTAAGTCAACGTTAAACAACAATATACATGGCTAAATCACAACCCCAAAACTATGGGTTTTTTAGCCACTCATTATTTGACCAAAAAGTGCTAAACCTTTGATTAAACCAATTAATGATGAGAAGAGGGTGAATCTTAGTTAAGAATAATAAAATCTAGATCAAATGATAGATGACGTAGACAAGATGAAAGACGTTAGCTAATATGTTTGAGCTGATCAAATGCTCATAAATGCAACAACATAAATGTGCAATGAGTCTAAATAAATGCGATCAGCATAATCAAAGGAAGTTGCTATCCGATTATTGTGATCTTTCGGAAAGCCTCTTCCCCTGACAGCAGTGCGGAAAGGAAGGAGATAAGAGATGGTTGAGGAATCCTTGGATCTTGTCAATATAGAACCAAAAACAGATACTCGAGTTATGTTATCAATGAATAAGATAATATTAGTATATTCTTTCAGATGAACCTTTTACGAAGTGTTCTCTTCTTTCAGTCCGGATCTCCTCTTCTTTACTAACTCTTCCTACTTATAAGGGAAATTTTTCCAAGGAACCCTAAAAAGTACAATATAAAGAATATTCGAGAAGCATATTCTTACTGTCCCTCTCTAAGTTTAAACTATCGTTCACATCTTGTTTTGGCTGACCGCTCTTGGTCGTCGTCCTTTGTCACAACGACCATCAGACGTTGTGTTATAGTAACCTCGTTCCACATCTTACTTGGCTGCTATCGTGGTTGACAAATTTGGACCCATACACTCATGATAATAGCAATCAATTTCATAAGTATCGAATGATTGAAAATACTAAGAAAAGATGAAGAAATCTGAGATGTTCTTGCTCCCGGATGCTTCTCGTGTGTATTCTCCCTCAAAAATGTCGTCCCCCCTTCACAAATAAATTTAGTCTTGCTTTTATACGTGTTCGGTAGGTTTAGGGCCGAATAACCGTATCCCGGACTTTGGACAAGATTCACGCCACCGGCGCCCTGCCCAGCACCAAGCGCTGCCAAATTGGAGTACAATGTTTCTGGTGCCACAGGTAAGGCTAGGCGCTGCTAAACACCAACACCCCACACTTAGACTCTTACTCGTCCTTGAGCAATGGGACTATCAAATAAACCCCAACTACGTACACGTCTCAACTATAGAGGAACAATTCAACTTTTAACCATACAATCTACCCTTGACTATGATCAATATCGACACACAAGCACGAACATACAAAATTTCACATTCTTCCCGTTTAAGCATGCCCAAGTATAACATTCAATTCAATCAATTCCAACAACCTATTTGTCACCACCCAACCTCAAAAGCCGACTTGTAACCACTAAGCACCCTCAATTCATGCGCTCACCCAACAAGAAAGTTTATAACATCACCTATCATTCATGAGATCATGTGCCTTTACAAACAAACGAAAGAGGGAATATATACTATTCCACACATTCAAATATGCTTTTGAATATAGATTAAGTACATCACACAGTTGAACAAAATTCGCTCACTTTCACAAAAAATTCATATGCATCCCGTGGTCGTACCATAAGTTTGCCCGTAATGTATATCTCTACTAATTTAATCTAGCCAAATCCAGGATCAGTTAGGACTTTCAGGTTGTAACGTAGGCTAAGGGATGGGTATGATACATTTAGAAATAGTGACTAACCCTCCTAAGCACTTTAATACACTACATTCACAACTCAAGCACATATTCTTCTCAACCAACTCACTTGCCACAACCCATATGCAGCATAGCCCTTACTTTCATTAAGCACTTCTATACTCCCACTAGTACAAATTATTAAGAATTGGAGGTGTGTATTTTTGTACATACTTTCACTATCAAATTTTTTTTCTTTTTCTTCACACACTCCATACATAAAGTTCATCGGCTAGTGACTTTTGATTTCTACTTTTAGTGAACCAACGGGCCCCTCCATGGTTCCACTCAAAAGCTACTCCCTAATCTCTAACCTTACTTCTTTTAGCGACTAAGTTCCTTATGAGGTAAAGGTCCAACAATCTCAATTAAGAACAAAATAGGGGTATGACTTGTAATGTGGTTTCCAAGAGAAAGGTCTATAGGCTCAAAGTGGATAGCAACAGAAAATTTTATTTTTATGTGACAAGCACATCCATGACCAAGCAAGAAATGCGTACGTCATCTCCTAAATTAGCATAACTTACAATTTCGCTTCGATTAACACACGACTCAAGTTCTAGACTATACAGGATAGCACAAAAGATCACAAATCCTCACACATACATTGCACATGACTCGCTCACAACGGTTTTGTTCAACTCTCAAATCAAGCAAGCACACATAATTGAGAAAAATTAAGCAATATTGCACAATGTGCCATACAAGTCAAACAACTGATAAAAGGCATCACATTATAGGCTATTTACTTTACTTAGACGTCACAATTCAAACTAAATACACAGGAAGATAGAATGTATATCATAGCGTAATGTGACATCATCAACCATGTCAATGAGTATCTCAGAGCAACTCAGTTTCTTCCTAAACTACTCCTAAAAAAAGAAAGTACCCGGTTCAAGCTACACCCTTGGAAAAGAACCAGCGCCCAAAGAAAAAATAAGGGATATTACCTAATTATTCTAAAAAAATAATCTTTTATGTGTTTTTAATCGGACTTTATCCCTCAAGAAAATTATCCAAAAAATCCATCGTCGGGAAAAGTCCGAGCATTTCCTAATTTTTTTTCAATTTTTTGTTTTTTTCTTCTTCTTTTTTTAACCTAGACTATGTCTACTACGAGTTCTAAAAAAATGTAATAGTATAAAAAATATAATTTTATACAATTACACTTCGGAAAGTAGTTTCCCCACTCACACTTATATTATGCATAGTCCTCGATGCATGATCACATATAAAAATATTAAACAAGGGTCAGAAATAGTCCTGAGACCCTCTTGGGCCTAGCTAGCACATGATTCTCAATATTAAGGGTCGAGACGACTCAAACATGCTCCTCAACTTCAACTTCGGGTACTCAGACTTCCCCTACTTTGCAAAACAAAAACAACACAAAACCTAACACTAAATAAAATAAAAAATAAATAAAATACAGGTTGGATTGCCTCCCAACAAGAGCCTTATGTATAGTCGTGGCACGACTCTGCTACTCTGCTCTGGCTGGACGCTTTCTCTTCTTCTTTCTCCCATGAAGTCTAGCCTTTTTGCACGCTCTTGGAAGGCCTCTTCTTTCATCACTGGCTCTTTTCTCAATCATTTTTAAACACTCAGCTTGAAACACCACCTCCTCTAACTCAGTTGTCCAATCTGGATCACTACAATGCACATAAGGACTATGCTCGATCCCCTTCGATTCTACCACCGAAATCATACAAAAGTCCTCACAATGCTTAGGGAGCTTAAGTGCCTTGTACACATTAAAAGTGATTTCCTCATCGTCAGCTCTCATCTTCAACTTTACTTCCCTCACATCAATAATCGCTCCAATGGTCGCCCCAAAATAATGAGTACTTCCTCATCCGCCTCGTAATCAAGAACAATAAAATCAGCATGAAGAATAAACTTTCCAACTTGAACTAACACATCCTCAGTAATTCCTTCTGGCATAACTAGTGACCTATCTGCTAACTGTAAAATGATTGTACTAGGCCTAAGCACCCCCAATCCGAGTTGCTTGAACAAAGAGGATGACATCAAATATATACTAGCCCCTAAATCACATATGGCTTTACCAACTTCTTGTTTTCCAAGAGATAGAGGAATTGTGAAACTCCCGGGATCCTTCAACTTAGGAGGAAGTTTACTCTGAACTCTAGCATTGCACTCTTCATTAAGTGCAACTGTTTCAAACTCTTTATGTCTGCACTTGTTTGCCACAATATCTCTAAGATACCTTACATACTTAGGAACTTCCTGCAAAATTTCCACCAAAGGAAAATTCACACGCATTTGGCTCAAAATATCTAAGAATTTCTTATACTTAGCAACATCTTTTTGCTTCTGCAGCCATTATGAAAACGGAGGTGGTGGCCTTGTCACAATTATTGGCTCTGATCCCTTGCTCTCTTTCTCATTCTCCTCATCTGGCTTGGGAACTAATCCTTCTTCAGGACTAGCCGTTTACTTCTTTTTCTTTGGAACTTCTTCTAATGCTCTTCCATTTCTCAAGGCAACCAAATTGACTTGAGTTTTAGGATTGGGCTCAGTATCACTAGGAAAAGCCCCAACTGGTCTGGTATTTTGGGCACTAGCAAGTTGTCCCACTTGGCGCTCCAAATTTCTCATTGCTGCGGATTGGGCTTGCTGATCAACCATCAATTTCTGAGTGAGGGCTTGTTGCTCAGCCATCAATTTCTGAGTGAGGGCTTGTTGCTCAGCCATCAATTTTTTCATTATTTCCTCAAGGTGACTTGTTGGACTCGCTTATTGTTCAGCCTAAGGTGGTCTATATTGTTGTTGAGGTGCTTGAGGCCAGTATTGATTCTGAGTACCTTGGTTTCCACCCAAAGAGAAGGTTGGGTGGTTTCTCCAGTTAGGATTGTAAGTGTCCCCATACTGATTTGTCTGGCCTCAATTTGCATTACCCACAAACTATGCAAACTCTGGATTTGCTGGGCATAGATTGCTCATGTGACCTTCTTCACAGACTTCACAAAATATTTGAACATGTTGCACTAGCTGGGCATGTTTCTTGTTAATAACCAAGGTTAATTGATTGACTTGGTTGATCAGTGTAGACATCTGCGCTGATAACGCCGAGACGACATCTAACTCGAGAACCCCTGCAGATTTTTGCACCGTGTGTCTGCCCATTTCTCCTTGACAATACAGATTGCTCTTGGAGAATTTGTTCAATAATGCGTATATCTCGTCAAAGCTTTTCTCCAACACTTGATCTCCAACTGCAGCATCTACCATAATCTTTGTTTCAGGATGTAAACCTTCTATGAAAGTGTGAGCTAATACTTCTCTTGTCTGATTGTGATAAGAACTGTCACACCTCCTTTTTACTACCCCGAAAAGGAATATAAGGGAGTTTTTTTCAATTTAAGTGACAATCGAAACGAGATTATTTATATCAAAATCAGAGTCGCCACTTGGAATAATTTATGGTGTCCCAAGTCACTGGTTTAAAATCCTGAATCGAGGAAGTTGACTCTTATTTATGATCTGCGAAACACAGAAATCCGGGTAAGGAATTCTGTTAACCCGGGAGAAGATGTTAGGCATTCCCGAGTTCCGTAATTTTAGCATAGTCGCTTTGATCATACTTGGCTTATTAGATTGTTTAATTACTCAATTTTAAAACCTATGTGCATTTGCCTTTTTTAATTAGGAAATTATCTTAAAATAGGTCATGCGTACGTGTACCCATTTGTTGGACGCATTGAAAATTATGTCACACGAACGTGTCTACAATTAATAACGCTTAGTTATTATTAAGAAAAGTTTGATCGAAGTTGCGCGAACGCATACTCCGATTTTATTTTTAGAATTGTAATTATGTCACGCGAACGTGTCCACAATCACGATGATATATTAAACGTGCCTAAAGTATTCTACGGATATTCATGTTTGAAACTAAATTAAGGTTCAATCTATAATCCTAATTTCCTAAGAAAGGGGATCGATTGCGGAGGTTCTAATTAGGAAAAACCATTGAAAAGCCTAGGCGTGATTCCAATTAGCTCTATCCGACACCCGCATCCTTTAATTTCTTGTAAACAAACATACATCCAGTATTGCTAGATCCCTCATTATTCAATTATTCTATGAAATGTTCATGATTTAAAAATGCAGTAACAAGTATGAGATAAACCAACCGAATCAGAATTCGGAGGAAACTTCAAAAAATCTTTAGCGAAAAATCTCAAATGCAACAAAACGATACTAGATGAATTCATGGAAAACCATGAGATACCAAACTAGCCCTTTTTTAACTAAAAGAAATCCGTATTGAGATTTAATGAGGCACTTGAAAATTGAAATACAAGGACACGATGAATCAACCATTATAACAACCCCTTATAGGAACACCATCTTTGAAAATAAATAAAATTAATTAACAATACAAAGAAATTTGCAAAATATGAATCAACCATACAAAGACAAAGTGAATCAACCATTTTGACCAAACCCTACAAGAACACTGTTTCAAAAGTTAAGAAAAAGGAAACTTAAGCCTAAATGTTTAAAAAAATGTAAATATTGGACAAGTATATCACTCCTCTACAAAAGTCGAAAACAACCTCTTCCTTTACAGAATCGAAAATAAATGCTCAACCATTTGAGAAAACTGGAAAAGATTCAATATATCACGTAAATTATGTCCAACTAATCAGTTAATATTATATTGAAATACAATTTTTGAAGAACATAAGATAGTGTACTCTGTTTTCATTCTGTCATATAGCAAAAGAAATATGGGAAATGGGGATGAGAGTTAAGAGGAAGCTGAATTAAAAAAACAAGTGACCTAAAATTAAGAGTAACAATCATACAAAATGAAGACAAGACCTGTTCCAAATTTGCTCCAACTCAATGACAAAACATAATCATGAGGGAAATAATCCAATTGATGCAATCCAAAACAGATTAATTACGCAAAAACATAACTATCACTAAATTAATCTATATTAACAAATTCTAAAGCTCCATTCACAGTACGAAAGCTAAGAGAGATATGATAGTATGAAAGTGGACCTGTTGTGGCAAAATCTTTGTTATAAGAATCGAAAACAGCAAACAATTACTACATTTGGGATCCAAACTCCAAATACAAGAATTGCAACAAGAACCGGACAAAGATCGGCACCTCGAACAGTAGCGGACTCGACAAATTTTCAAAAGAATCCCATTTTAACCAGAAAACCCAGAATTGAAATGAAAAGGTAGAATCTATAGATTTCAAAATTTTAGACACTAATCGACATCAAAATGAAGTCATAAAACACTCAACAATAATATTTTTTGTATTTCTCTGTTTTGGGACAAAAATAAGAAGAACAATAGAAAAAAGAAGAAGAATCTTTTCGAACCCTAATTTTCCTCTTTCAATTTTTTCCTCCAAAATGTTTCTAATAAAAACCTCCTCATCTCTAAAAATATAACTTCTCTTATACAGGCTTCCAGAAATCTCGAACCTTCTATGCTTCCTTCCCAAGAAATCTCCCAAAAATTTTCAAAATCCGAATATGATTTTTACCCCTTTTTTGATGAAAAACAAAATGACAAATGGAGGGAGTGGATCCAATTTCACTCAATCCTACGCCCCCCATTTTTCCTATTTTTCATCTAAAGGAGTAAAATCCGAAAAAAACAAAGAGAGGGCTTGTGAGGGAGAGGGAATATGTCAGAAACGGTTAAGCTATGTTGGAGAGAGACGAAAGGAGGGACCAACAGACTCGGCGAGTTGAAGTGCCCGATTTTGGGTGTGATTCGACGAGTTTGTGCGAGGCAAAATCGAAGCT